CTCAGCCAGTGTTGAAGGGTGGCATGGGTGAATTGGAGCCCCCTCAGGTTGGGGTGGGTGGGCTCCAGTACACCCTCCCAACCCTCCAGCAGGGGCTGAACAAATTTCAGACTAAACTCCCTCCACTCCCCTCACCCCCCATTCTGAAAATAGCTTGAGGCTGGGAGGCAGCACAGGCAGAAAACAGAAGATGCTGTTTTGAATTGTCTTCATCTGACCCCTTGTGTGATGAAGGCTTAGATTTCTGCCTGATCGGCCATTTTTAAGCAGTCTGCAGCTGCATACTTGTGTTTGGTCATGGCTATAGACTGCTTTCTGTGGCCATATTGAGCCAAAACTGTCATTCTATCTGCGCCCCAAGTCTTCCTGCTTGTTTCCCAGGCTCTGTGCATTCATGTGTAGACACTTGAGGTAACTAGCTGATTGCCCTACTGTCTCAGGGAAAATGAGAAGCCGCTCCCTGCTTAGTGCTTCAACCAGGTCACCTGCTTCCCTACTTACCTCAGGGCTTTGTTCTCCATCCCCCAGTGAACCTAATTTAAAGCCCTCCTCAGCAGGTTATCTAGCCTGTCTGAAAAAATTCTCTTCCTTCTCCTCATCAGGTTGATCCCATCTCTTCTGAGCAGTCCTCCTTGGAACAACATTCCACTGTTGAAGAAGCCAAAGCCCTATTGATGACACCTTCTGTACAGCCATGCATTTATCCAGCCTGGGCACTTCCCTTTGACCTCCAAGTCTCCAACCACCACCACCCATCACTTCCTCTTATTGGCAGTGGTCTTGATCCTCTGAACCTTGGGGATGCCTGGCCCAACCTCTTCCAATAACAGGGCATGCTCCTGCTCCTCTTCTCTGTTGCTAGGACTCCAAATGTGTTCTCCAGGCAAACTGGTGGAGAGTAGACTTCTGCCTGCTGCCAGAGGTCACAAGCTTCCAGCTTCCATCTTCATGGGAGGACATGTTCTTCCTTCTCTAGTGCCTCTAGCCGTCCTTCCTGCACAGTTCTAGAGGTCTGCTCCAGCATCGAATTGATGAAGTCCTGATGGATTCAGAGCCTCGCCACCTCCTCCTGTAGCTCTCTTGCCTGCTCCCTGAGGGACACGACTAGGAGGCACTGCTCACATTGCAGGCTTTCCCTCAACTAGCTGTGACTGGAAGGAACCTGCAAGCTAGTCTTCATAGCACCAAACCAGGACCTGGGTGGAAGCCTTCATGGTGAGTGGTCCTACCTGGACAGACACCTTACAGGTGCAAGAGGAAGAGCTGGCAGTGGCAGTGGCAGTGGCTCTGGCATTGTGAGGTCCTTCAGCCATTTTTCTGGGTCTCTTAATTCTCTACCTTTCTCTTTCTGCCTTTCTTTCCAAGCAGACCTTCCCTAGCAAGCTCCCCTGTAAGCTGGCCTGTTCACTACTTCTTGGTCTCAAAAGCTTCTCTTTTCCCTGCTAACCTGCTTCATCTCACCAAGCTTACAGTGAAGGAACATGAAAAAGTTGCCAGACAGACTCCCCCTTGCTCTGGACTCCAGTTAAACCACGCCTTAAGTACTGGTCTAGCTGCTGAGTTTTAGCTGTTTACACTATATATATGTAGTTTGGTTACTCTTAAATTTAAAAAGCTTACCTTAAAGGCTCCCCTTCAAAGAGGTGGGTGGCAAACTGACTTACAAACTGCTTGCAATCTGCCCTGGTTTGCTGCCCCTGTTCACTCACCAAATCAAATAGTCTAATTTCTATTATGTACCAACTGCAAAACAGTTGTGGGTACCCTTATCTTCTGAGGAGACTTTCTTCCACAAGGGGGCTGTTGTCTAAATCAGGAATAACTTATGTAATCAGTGAGGCAGTACCGTAGCAAAGAAGTCTGGTGCCCAGGGCAAGCCCACAGCAGTAGGCCGCTCTCACCCCGTGCACAGATCTGGGGTGCACACAACCTCCCATGCTTGCCTGGGAGTGCACAGTGGTGGGAGCCACCCTCCCCCCAGCCCCCCAGACAATCCATTTGTGCCTCCATCCCATACCCTGACCCAGTCAAGAAGTGCCTGTTGGCACCCCTTTGCTTCAGCGCCCAGGGCAGTCACCCCACTCACCTCCCTCCACCCTCCACTTGCTATGGTACTGCAGAAAAAGAGAGCAATAGTCTTTGGGAAATTGATCCTGGTAATTTTTTATTAATGTTGAATGCCTTATTCTGCAATGGCTGACAAGGTGCCCACAAATCGTGCTCCATTTAGAAAAGGCAGAGCCAACCTACACTGTGAAGAAAGTTGGAAAGTTCCAAGGGGTTTGCAATGATGAAATACTGGCTTCAATAAGGTCAGTGTCAAAACTCATATCAACTTCACTGGAGTTGGTGTTCATCCTAGATATCTAGAATAAGCATTAATTCAACACATCTCCTGGGCAACCCTGAAAGCAGGGTTTTTATTATATCTGGACATATAATAAGGTTGCCCTCCCCTGCTGTAAACCTAATGGGAAAGTAGTGTTTGTACTGTTCTGCTTTCCTTCAGAGTATCTGGTATCTTCCAGTGTAAGTGCCTCAATGAATACAGAAGGACATAATATTTTCATTCCCTCTATCTGAAGGGTTTAAAAAGCTGATTAGTGGACCTTTTTTCTCAATGAACTGGCAAATTCTGTGAGAGGCAAGGATTCCTTATGGTGATATATTTTATTGGACTAACTATGTGGTTGGGGTAAAGTTAGACAAACTTTTGAACATAAGACCTTCTTCCTCACATCTATCTTCCTCAGATCTGTTTACATTCAAAGCATGTCTAATGGTATCTCAACTACATAGCTGGTCCAATAAAAGATATCACCCCTTGCATAATTTCTGGACCATTGCGGCTACAACTTTGCTCTTTCACTACCATAACGTGGCAAATTCTGACATAATTAAACTTTCTAAAGAGACTGTTGCATTTCAACAAAGTTCCTTCTGTGTCTTGAAATCTTTCTGGTTTCTTGGAAGCTTCCCTGCCTAACTCCTGAGCAGTCTGCCTACTAAGCAGGAAGCCCTGGAATCAGACTTAACAGTTCCCTTTTCCAAAAAATTCAACAGTTTTATTTTCATTCCAAATTGGAAAGGAACCAAGTTTTGAAATATCCAAACCCTCTGGGAAATGTTATTAATCTTTTTTTTCCCACTTCCCTCCCCAATACATCTCTTACCTATTCCACATAAATGTGATCAGTCATGATTTGGACCAAAGCTATGAAATTGTTTGTTCTAAAGGGAGTCCAAAATATATGATTACTAGAATGCCTATATCTCTTGAAGCTCAGACTATCATCCAAAATAAAATGACTTACCTCTTCAAGGACATCAGCAAGCTTACTGAGTATTTCTTCAGGAAGGCTCTGGAATGTTGGAACACTGTAATATAGAAAGGAAAAGAACTTTTGGTTAATGTATAAAGTTAGATAATGAAAAAAATCTAATTTATTTCATTAGCATATGGATATGAGCTGTTACTGAACAAAATACTGTAAGAGTAAAACATGATTTTTATTACCAACACACAACGTGGTCTCAATCTTATACTGTAACATCAAAAAGGAATACAGATTTTAATTTTGCAAATGTAATTCTTTAGGACTGTTTGCCACAACAAATCTATTGTGTATTCTGCTTATTTCTTTATATCTTGTCTGCTATGGTATAAGTATGCAGTGGTTTTAGAATAGTGAAACATGAGAAGCAAGCATTTTGGAACTATACCTTTACTATATAAGCCCCATACTAGGTTGGGGGACTGTTTGGTGTCCTGCATGTTTTCTCTAGTTTGTTTTACTAATGTGACATGTGTAGTCCCTACTTATAGGTAATGTCAAGCTGTATTTAACTTCATCATCCTTATGTTTATATGCATTGTGGTATTCAGTATAAAATGCATTTCTTTTATGTTACAGTAGGACCAGGATTGCACAATATGATAATGACTGTCAAGTGACAAACAATTAGTTTTTTTGGCACCCAAGGAGAAGCTGAAAAGCAGTAATCAATATTTCACAGGAGTGTGTTGACTCACAAAGAGGCCCTCCCAGGCAAGGACACATTTACAATTTGAAAGCAACTGTAACATGTGCAACACCTCCAGCTCTTTGAACTTCTGTACTGAGCCCTAGTTGGGAAAATCCCCTCTGCTAAGAGCTGGCAAGACCTAGGCAAGACAGGTACAGTCAACATGCCACAGGCCAAGGACTTGGTCCCTGGTATATCTCAGCTGGTTCTCAGTGGTGAAGCAGGAGATGACAGGGTTTGATTGGAGCAGAAGGGTGTCTCTGAAACTGTAAGAGCATGCATCAGAGGTGCACCCAGGCCATATCCAGGGTTGGGCCATATCACAAAGTGAAATGGGGATCTTTTTTTCAACGCTTATATTAGGAAAAGTGCTAAATTAAGCTGCATTCCATACTGTTCCAATAATAGATATTAATGTGCAATTTCTTCTTGCCCCACTTCAACCAGCAACAAAGAAAAACACCAGAGAGACCAAATCCAATAAGGATTTAAGAGAAGATTGGCTGAAAATTGAGAAGATATGCTTGTAGTCTAAAAAGTATAAAATATGAGGCCACCTAAGTGCAGCCAAGAGTTGTGGGGAAAACAGAATTGGACCAATTTTTCTGTTAAGGTTGCGGAATAGAGCTGGTAAGAAATCTTACATTACGTTATTTTCTTTGAGACAAACCAGTTCATCAAACAAACTATTTGCCAGAACACTCCAACTATGATAACACTCATGTACTTTAAAACAGCTCCCAGCCTTTCTGATTTGCTCTTACGTTCTTTTAAGCACAGCTGTTAAGCACACTTGTGTAAGACAATTCCTGAATAGGTATTTTCATAATCTGGAGTTTAGGTTTAGGTTCCTAAATCTAAAAGGGCTACTTTTTAGAACTTTTAATCACTCATAGGCTCCCTATTAACTAACTGGCAGCTAATGGATGATCAATTTTTAAAAATTAAATACCTAAATCAAAATTTAGGATCACAATTTTGGGTCTTATCTTGAAAACCTTGACTCAGGAGTAACGCATGGCATTTATAATTCTTGAAAAAGACACATGTGATTTCCTTCAGGAAAATCATATTAATGTTAGAGTAAACCTGAAAATTTGCTCACATTGTTGTTATAATTCAAATGATCTTTTAAACCACTAGAAATATCTTTTTATAAAATGCATATTTTAAAGTCCTTACAATTTAAAAAAAAAATCTATCTTTAATTAACTTTATTTCAATTGTCTTTCAGCTTTTCTTGCTGAAAAGAAGTTGGGGAAACGAATTCCTTTCCCTTTCTGTTCCACACAAGAAGTTATCTTCTGTGTCCTGGAAGGTGTTTTAATGCATAGTTTATTAGAAAGATCTTGTCAAAAGATATACACTTCTGGTTCCACTATTGATACAGAATTAGAAAGCAGGAAAGCAACAAGCTAAGGCTTCTACATCCACCTAGAGAAAGCCCCAAATCAATCAAATACATTAATTATACAATTAATTATATATTGATTCTATAGATAATTACATACCATTGATTACAAAAAATTCCCAGAGTAATTTAGATCATCTCTTGTTCTAATTAGTGATCAAAATAAATTATATAGATCTACCTTTTCCAAAATGTATGTCCAAGCTTTCTGTCATTTTCCTATAGAACACCTTCCATGGCAGTGCATGGTACTGTACAGTAGCAAAGTAAAATAATGGGATAGACCTTGGGGCCTTTGCATATCAGATATTCGTTATTCCTGCTCCATCACTCCCATAAGCAGAGGAAGAAGGAATACACTGACTGAGAACAGTATCTTCTGCAGAATGACAGTTGACTAAATTCTGCCTCTGGTTACACTGTAAAACTTCAGCTTCATTAGACTTAGACTGAAATTAAACATTATATATTTTTACTGAAAACTATTTCTTGATGAGGACATAAGAAATATCCCAGGCCTAACCCAGATGTTGCACAAAAAGAGCAATGTATCTTGGCAAAAGCCAGTAGAAAAAAAATGTTCTCTTGTCCCTTTACAGCTTGAAAGGAAGGTGCCTTTTCCATAGTATACCAGGTAATTTATCTCAATTAACTATGATATCCTATTGTTGAAAGCTTAGGATTTTAAACAAATTCAGTTCACCGTATGAAAAGGTGAAGGTAAGAAGAGAAATGGTTTAGTTTCATCATTGCAATGGAGCAGATAATTAGACCATTTAAAATATTGACAATGCATAAGTCCTAAATAAATTATAACCCAGAATAATAACATTAATTGCATAATAAACAAAATTTCTTTTAAAGCAAGGATTTGTGATAGTTTACAAAAGGACTAGTATGCTTCTGAATGTCCTGGTTAATACAGGTAGCGTGTATTCCCTTTTTGTTGAATAGACTCCAATTAAACTTCTACCTAGAAAGAATACATTTATGAAACGGAGTAGGAACCAAAAGGCTTTTAGCCTCAATTTGTAATGATGTACGTTTTAACTAGTGATAGTATCTTTGATGAAGTAATAAAAATATAAAATTTAGACAATTTAAGCCTCTCTTATAGCCACAAACAAAAATATACTTGAACTCTTCCAGTGACATCATCAAATTGATGGAAACAAGAATCCATTTCCTGAAATCCAACTATTTTATATAGTTACTTGTGAAATTTAACATTAAAAAAATAAGCCTCTATAATTAGTTAGATAGATATCTAAGTACGTACTTATTTAATCACCCACATATAAAAACTGTAGCTGAAAATAGGCAGGATATCAGTGAAAGGACTAGGAAAAGAGAAAAATGTGACCAACTGGTGATACAAGAATCATTATTAGGTCTTCTAACTTTATATAAAATATTTTAAGTAGGTGGTAAAAAAAAATCTATATTTAGCCACTTTACAAAGTTATAGAAGGCAAATTATGAAAATGTCAAACAGACTAGCAAATATTCTGAGTTTCCATGTTAATAATAAAAAAATCCATCTTTGAAAAAAAATGTGTAATTATAGTACAAGTTCAGAAAGTATAATCTCAGACAAAAAGGTACAAATTCACTGTATTTTGAGCAGTGGTACCTTTATGGGATGTTCTGTTATCAACTGCAAAATTCACAGAACTGAATCCCTATTTGCCTGTATCCTGCAGAGAGCAAGAGATAGCAATCACTATTTCCTCAGTGTTTTAATAGGAACTTTTGAAGGTCACAGGGTTTCCGAAACAGAAGTATGGAACCAAAATTCTGGAGATGGATTTTTGGACCACAGGATAAAGGGATTTGGGAAGTGCAGACAGAGTATCACCTCTTCCCCACCCAGTACCTGAACAACTACCTGAACTACTTGAAATTAATATTTTTTCCCATTGCCTTAGATAATTATATCAGATATCCTCAGTAGTTTTAGTACCTTCTAGTATAAAAAAAGCAGGAAAGGAAACACTCAAGACAATGAGCTAATGCTGTGCAAGCTGCGAGATTTGTAAGGGTACTGACTCCACCTAACTTCATTGGGGGGCACAGCAAGGGATCAGAGATGATCTGTTCACCAGGGTGCCTCTTGGGGTAACAAGGAACAATGGTCACAAACTGACAGAGAGCAGGTTTAGGCTAAATATCAGCAAAAACTTCTTCATGGTTAGGGTGGCCAAAATTTGGAATGGGCTTCCACGGGAGGTGGTGCTCTCCCCTGCCTTGGGGGTCCACTTCTACATTCCCCACCAATTCTTCCCTGTTTGCGAGCAGTAGGTCAAGAAGAGCATGGCCACTAATTGGTCTCTCCAATGCTTGCACCAGGAAGTTGTTTCAAATGCTCTCCAAAAACTTCCTGGATTGCCTCCACACCGCTGTATTGTCCTCCCAGTAGAAGCTGGGGCTCTGGCTGTGGTTGGGGGGTGGGGGTTTCCCACTGGGAGCTGGGGCTGTGATCCCTAGACCACAGCCACAGGCATGGCTCTGGCCATGGTGAGGGGGCTTTGCCTACAGGCAGCTAGGGCTGGCCCTCATGACCATAGGACCAGCTGGGACTAGCAGAGAGAGGCTTTACCTGTGAGCACCTGGGGGAGCACCCTCTCTCATGCCCACAACTAGCGCTCTCAACATAATGCAGGGGCTGTGTCTTCTCTACAGTGGTGCTCCTGGGGCTCTGCACATGGGAAGCTCCACCACTGCAGCTAGAGCTCAGGGTTCTCAAGCCCTGAAGTTTGGGGGTGGGAGGGTCCCCATGTAGCACTTCAGAGCTCTGCACCCATACCACGCACCTTGCTGCAGGTGCTGGCTTTGATGTGCCCAGCATCTAAGTTGTTTAGATGAACCAAAGTCTGCATGGCAAAATTACCAGGACTAGTTAGCCCAGACCAAGTGCTGCATCTAATGGAACTGTAATGTT